TTTCAAAAAAAAAAACTTCCTTTATAACAAATAAATTGTAATACTTAAACAAATAAATATTTAATATTATCTCAAATAAATATTTAATATTATCTCGAGAATGTAATCTTGCCATAAATTTTTTAAAAATGTAATTCCGATAACAAAAAAGATAGAAATGGTAGGAAAACACCAAAAAAAAAAACAAAGAACAATTTAGAAAAATAAAGATGAAGAGAGTTTAACCAAATAGAGATGAATAGAGAGCCTAGAAAGACCAAGAGCAGAGGAAAGTAGCTAGAGGGAAAATGAGTTAGATTTAGAAAGGGAAGAAAGATAGAGAGAGAAACAAAATGGAGAACTAGATAGATAAAATAGGAAAAAAAATTCAACAAGAAAAAAAAAACCGAAGAAAAATGTGTCGATATATAAATTAATTATTTATTACATACCATTTTAATTAAATTCATTTACTTATTTATAATTAATTAATTATCTTATTTATTTAATATATTTTATTAAAAAATTAGTGCATTTTAGGTAAAGACAAAATGTGCATTCAACTTGGACAGTAGGGAATAATTACTATAGCATTACTATAGCAACTTGGGATGGAATAGTATTTACTATAGCAAATTTAGGTTTATAAAATTATCAAACAAACATGGTCCTAACTAACCCTACCTCCGTCTTGAGAATAGTGAACTAGACACCCTTTAAGTTGTAGGAAAAATCCTACTATTTATTATTATTATTATGAATTATAATTAAAGGAAAAAATATTTAAGTTGTAACAAAAACATTTTGCATTCCAATAAATTTTTTTCTAATAAAAGGAATAATAAAATTTAATATTATTTTTATATGAATGATATGGTTGATCTAATAAAAAATTCTTTTATTTTAATGATTTATTATTTGTTAAAATTTGTTGATGCTGAAATCTAGTTTGCTGATGTGACTGGCGAAGGCTGACATGGTGGTCTCCTTCGCGTGCGTGTAACTTGCAAAATCGAACTCAACATCAATGTGGTGTTCTACGAAATGCACTCTAAAGCTTAAGTTAGAACTTAGTTCGAAAGAGCTAAGAGAAGAGCAAGAAGTTTTGTGCAAGATGTTGCATATACCTTTCTGAAGGGTTTGACTCCTTTTATAAGGGGAGTGATCTTGGGAACGTGCTCAGAGAAATCCAGTATAGTCAAGGAGGGTTTCTTAGCAGACTCTAAGAATATTCTGACACGTGAGATTGTACTCTCGTCGAATGTCAGCAAATATTTTGCTGCATAAACCCAGCTCGAGAAAAGCATACGAGATAAACTACCCGTCTTTGGCCATGTGGGCTTTCCCCACCCACACAACCCAACCTTGGAGGATTCACCCACGTGTCTAGTCGAATTTTATCCCATAACAATATTAAATAAATTATTACAGTAAAAGAATATTTACTATAAATAAAACAGTAATAAAATCAATTAAATTTTATTATTAATTTTAATTAAAATAATATTAGCACAATAATGTATTTATAATTAACTAAAAATAAGAAAGAGACATACTGGTAAATTGTTATTTCAACAGTTTTAATAAATAAACTTCAAAGAAGTAACATTTTCATTATGATCCCTTGTAAGTAGAGGAGGCCTTAGTAAATACCATAAAAAATGAAATAAAATTTTCATTCTCATTTTCTCAGAGGAAACAGGACCAAATATTTTACCGTTAATGCGAATGGAAATATAGATGCCCAACCTAATTTGATAGAAATACAGGTAAAATGGGATATTTGTAAAATAAAATATTATGATTTAATGAGAGAATTTAATAATTGAAGAGAGTTGTATTATTGTATGTGAAGTGGAAAGGCGTGTGAAAGGAATGAATTAATGGTATCGGCCTTCCCTAATTTCCTCCACTTTTCCCATGCAATCCATCCAACTTCCCAATACGTTTAGTATAAATTTATCAAAAATAAAAATCTTCCTACTCCTATATATATAAATAAATAATAATAATAATAAAACCCCATGCATGCATCAAAATATTCGCAACCCTTCAGCTCTTTGTAATATTCTCCCAATTTCAGGTACTCTCCTGCTCTCAACTCTACTTTCTTTTTTCTTTTATACATATATATTATTCAAGATCTATGGTTGCTTTTCCATTCCTTTAAAGTAGAAAACTCCAAATATATGTTATTCAAATCTTTGCCATATGCTATTTTCTTTTCATTTTGTATCAATAATCTTGATGAGATGTAGAGATTCGAACACACGACCTTTTGATCGAAGATATAGGTACATAAACGTACGATTAGGAAAAGAGAGCAAATTTACCTTGCAAACTTGTTCTAACGTTGAATTAGTAAAGAGAACGACATCATTCTATAACATATATTTAATATGTATTTTTTAAAATATCACGATTCTTCATTTTTTTTAAATATATCAAAAGCGTGACATAAACCTACGGTATTTATTTTATGTTATTTATGTAAATACTTCATTAATATATAATTGTAAAATTGATTGCTTTTTTTTTTTGGCGGAAGGAGCAATTGCCCTTCTAAATTTTGCTTAAATTAAAAACCTTTTGAATCCCTTTGTATTCCTTTAATGATTTAAGTTTTTTTTATTGTAATTGTGTTTTAATATAGTATTAATTAGGGAAGAAAATTCTAAGCTCAAATTTTTGCAATGCAATTTTCTTTTCGTTTTATATTTCACATGTTAGGGTTTAGAAATTGAAATTTAGTATTTCCAACATGCATGTAGGAGGGAATGTTAAAATGAATTGAAAAAACAAATTAAAATTACCTCCAATTTATAAAGGCTGATTTTATTTTTATTATTCTAGACATTATTATTTCGATTTATGAATTAATTAATATTATATTATTAGTATTTTAATTGGAAAATAATGCGTTTTGATCGAACATTTTTTCTTTCATTTCTCTTGAGTTCATCAAGAGTGAGGATTTAATTTCAAATATTATTTTATATACGTTAACATGCTTAGATTAGGATTGAGACTTTTGCTACATTGTTGTAGGAAAAAAAAATCGTGTTTCTTTAGTAAGTTTCTAAAAATTATCTTGGATAAAGTTTATAAATTTGAAAAAGTAGTTTTTATTTTATTTCATTCAATCTATATTTTTAATGATTTGAAAAATACCCTTAAATATGAATTAAAAAGAAATGATCGGCATTAAACTAATTTATTTTGTTATAAAACAAAAATTTTGGAGTTAATTTTATTTGATTTACCAAACTGATGATAAGTACTAGAAATATTACTTATTATGTACTGGAAAAAAAATGCTATGTAAAAATATATAAAAGATTTAAAATTACTTGGTAATCTGTAATTTTAATTACTTGAGTTAAATTGCAAATTAATTTAAATATTAGATTTTTCAATATTAAGTTTATATGTATAGGGATTTCTAGTCGGTTCCTCTTTTATATCAAGAATAGAAGCCACAATGACAAATTTCTTAAGACAAAACTAAAAATAGAATCATTCTCAAATGGGACCTTTGTAAAACAAAGTTGATTATTATTTATTAACAATTGTTATTATTTTTGTTTTTTTATTTTCTCTAAAAAACTTGATTAAAAAAGACATTAATAGTTTGAAAAATGGTTTGATTCAATGATATTCAAGATCTAAAGACTTTTGTCAATCTTAGGATAGTTCAACTAGTTAAAGTATATAATATCATTGGTCGGAAGTTAATACTTCACCTAGATCTAAAAATAAAGATCGATAAATTTTGTAAATGATAATAATTTTAATTGGAGGGGTTAAAATACATAACAAGGATGAGTATGTCTTGATTCTTTAATAAAACAGTAAAATATTAAAGTGTCTAAATAAATAAATTTGTATATAACCAAAAAAAAAGAAAAACTTTGGATCTTTTTGGCCTTCTTGGTCAAAAAGAGATTAGAGCTGATTGAAGCTTGAAAGTAGGGTTTAAAGTAAAGTTTTTTGGTGCATAGTTTTCTTTTCTTTTTTTTTTTGGCAACACTTTTTTTCTAAAAAAAGGAGAAAAAAAAAGATAGAAATAGATTTTTTTTCCTTTTTCTATTTAATTGTTCAACGGTTTTCTTGATTTTTTGAAATAAAATCACTTATTTAATTATAAAGTTTGAAAGAATTATTAATTTAGAGTGTTTGAGCTTAATATATATTTTATTTTAAGCACATTTTCTTAAAATACATTTTAAGAGTACAGGTCAATTGGTTAAGACACCAAATTGAATTACCATCCTACCTATCTATTGTATTTAAAAAAATACATTTTAATAAAACTACTTTTAATTATGCAATGGATTACCATTATTTTTAATAACAAATTTATTTGTTTGCTTGCACAACATTCAAAAAGGATTCTACCAATGACAAAAATATATATATTTTTTCCTTTTAAATGACTTTGGATCTTATACCATCATTTTTCTCCATAAAATAATTAATATTTAATTTTAGAAGACTTCTCATTATTACTTCTCTTAGTACGGTACAACATATTTGGAAGGAAGGATTAAACTTTGGACTTCTACCATTAAACTATACTCATATTGACAGATTCTATGTAGCTCTTAAACGATTTTCCACTTAGTTAAGCTAAAAAGAAAAAGAAAAAGGAAAAAGGCAAAATCATAGGGACAGAGGCAAAAAGAGTAAATTAAAAGACCATGCAACAGTCAACAGAAATCTTCTTGGCGAAGAAACCGCTGACCGTACAAATTACCATTTCGTTCGCCACTGTCTCAGTTTGGCTCTGCATTAGTTCCTTTCCAACGAAGGCGGGAGAATCAAATCAAACAAATGGTTCCAAAAAGGGAGCTTCAGAGGCAAGCAAACGCCCCCCATTTCATGAACAAACGCATTTTCCCCATTTCTCTCTTTTCAAGTTTTCTCAAACAATGGATTTTCATAGCTTTCACATAAGTTTTGGTTTTCTTTCTTCTCGAAATGGGTTTCTAAAAAGGGTTAGTTTTTGAAGGTCATTTTGTTACAGATAACAGAGGAATGGGCATGGATGAAATGAAGAAGAAAAGGAGGCAAACCCAGAATTTGGGGTTCAATGATATTCTGTTTTCTTGGTCGCTTCAAGATATTTTCAATGAAGATCTCTACCAGGACGAGGTTTCTTTCTTTTCTTTTCCCTCACCAACTTATTTTTACATAAAGAAACATAAATAGTCGTAGAATGCTTAGATTTCTTAATAACATTGAAAACAAGAAACAAGAAACGAGAACGTTACCAAACAGTCTTTGGTTTTCTATGTATTCATTCTCAAGTTTGATGCAACAAGGTACTTATGTGTGTGTTGATCCTCTTTTTATTTCGATAAGAGTCTTGTTTTCATTCGGCAACTATTTTGTTTCGAGTATTTTAAGTTTAACTAATGTACTACTTCTATCTATCTATGTGTTTCTTTACTTTTTTACCTAAAACCGCTTTCAAAATCTAAGAAAAATTTTAAAAACTAAAAGACAAAGTAGTTTATAAGAACTTGTTTCTATTTTTGAACTTTGGATGTAGGCAAACTTTTCGAAAACATGAAACTAAAAATGAAATTGTTATAATATGGGGTCTTAATTATTTGGTTGATGTAAATATTCGTTAGAGAACCAACTTTTTTTGCTTTGTTTGTTCTATAGTTTAACTTCCTGCTTTCTTTGAAAGAAGTTGTTCTTTAATCAGAAAATTTAAGTGGTGTTCCAAACAAGTTTACTGTTTGTCATTTTTGTTTAATTGAAGATTTACCAACTTTTCCTTTACAATCAATGCATATCCTTGTCATTATTGTACTCTTTTCAATACAATAATGTTGGATCGCAAATGTAATTTTGTATTGATTCAATTAATTTTATAATCTTTGGTTTAGTTTTCAATTAGCTTATTGAATATTGATGATATGTTTCATTTATGGATTTTTCTTTGGTAGATTGAAAAGATTCCGGATTCTTTTGAGTCTGTTCAGCATTATTTTGGGTCTTATGTCTCTCCTTTACAAGAAGAGATTAGAGCTGAGCTCTGCACTAGAATAGACGCTCTATCCACTGCGCCATTTGCGGAAGTGATATTGTTGGAAGAATGTAAGCCATATGGTACCGAATTATATGACTGCAAAGTTGATCTGTGGAAGAACAGATTCAATGGAAATGAGCCATACAAAGTCTTACCTGGAGATGTATTTATTTTGGCTGATGTAAAACCTGAAGTTGCTTCAGATTTGGAAAGAATGGGGAAGTCTTGGACTTTTGCTATTGTTCATAAAATCTCAGAAGATGAGAATGAAGGTGATCTCACCTCCACTTCTTTTAAAGTAAAAGCAGTAGTGAAGAACTCGGAAATCATCAAGAAGACGATGTTTGTGGTCTTTTTGTTGAACATACTCCCGAGCAAAAGAATATGGAATGCATTACACATGGATGGAGATTCACAGATTATGAAGGAAGTTCTATGCCCCAATCTAATGGTAAGTGACAAAAAAGTAATATTTCTGAGCTAGTGTTTTTTGGTTTCTGGTAAGAAATGAAATGAAGTTTTCATCACAATAAGGAAATAAAAAGTTATAAACAAGGGTAGGAAAGCCTCTGTCATGTTAAAAGAAGATTACAGAAAGATGTTTCAATTACAGAACAGATGGTGAAATTTGAACCAAGTGAGAGCAACAAAAATAGTACTGTCTCAAAATCTGGAGGTGTTTTGGCATTTTTT